TGCAGTGTTCCTGAAATTTCAGGCCTTTACATTCAACTAAAAGGTCTAGTGAAAATTCATTTATCCCCCTTTTACAGGCACACTTCTCTCGAATAGGGAATTAAAAATAAAATTTCGATTGCTTTTTTTCTTTATTATTGTTATAAGTAGTTTAAATTGAAAATTGTACATATTTTTTTGCAATTCCAAATAAAAACTTGGCGCGTCAATAACGATAAGGCCCACCTCGTGTCCTTTCAGTAAATATGTATTTTTTTAATGGCTTTATAGGTAGACGCTTGTACAGCCCCCCCCCCTATATAATATTATTTATATATGTATATATATTATATACAACTATACATATGAACGGTGTGCTAGTATAATCACAAACTGATTTACGGGAAACAACTGCGAAAACTCAAGCGTGAAATCCAATGACGTTTCACAAATCCACTTCATTCACTAAGCGGTCTCAATGGCTTAAATCCTGAACTAACAAGCCCTCGAGCCGACAGTACCAGGAGCTATATTCTACTTTATAAGCTGCAGTGAATTTTAAACACTTAGTTTCTATAAATTAGTATTTTGGAAAGAATTGTGTGTTGGACATTTTATAATTACGTGATCATCTAGGACTTGTAAATTTCAATTTTCTTTGAGCCACGCTAATTTATTATTAACACAATAATGCTCACGTAATTTATTCTGGGCATTTTATTTGAAAGAGATACGTAGAATACTTTTCTTAAGACATCAAAACTAACATAAGTCAAACAACAAGACAAGTGGTAAACATAATAATTCTTGCATTGGTCACAGCAACCACATTTAAAGCCTAAACAACTTGTTGCTATCAAACTTTCCGTGTTGTTTTTTTTCACCAAGCTAATTATTTCTCGGAAATCATCTTCGTGATTTGTATCGATCACATCAATTTATTAAAAATATACACTTTTATCTTTTCGCGGAAAAAATGTTTAAAAGGTCACATTGGAGGGCTGCGGAGCCCGGATAAAGCGCGCGGAGCGGTGTTCGTAGGTGTAGCAGCGGTCGTGCGACGCTTGCGCGAAAGCTCTTATCGATCGTGCCACGTGGAAGCGCCTCCGCACAGAGGAGGGTCACACCCGGGAACAACACGTGCCCAAAAGCGTTGGCGTTCTGACTACAAAATTATCTCCCACCATTTTTATTCCTTGTATTCACTTTACTCTATTTCACATTTAAGTGATGCTTTATATTTCCGCATAAGTTGGCATCTCCGTAAAACTTGTAGAAGCAGTGTGCTGTACAGCTGCTATTTTAATATGATTGAAACTTCGCCCTAATGCTTTAATCACTTTGCAACATACTAAGATCAAATGTTACATGGGTTGAGAGCTCTCGTGCCCCCAAGTAAGCTAATGGCTGCAGCACCCTAATGTTATATTTCTAAGCCGTTATGTTAATCTTTTATCCTGATCTATATTTCAACTTCCATTATTTGAATGCCTCAAATACGCAAACATTAATGCTGTAAATTATTTTCCTTTCAATAGAAGTGTAATTAGTTCATACAGTTCATTTCCTTAGTGCATCTAAAATAAACGCCGCTCCCTATTCTAGAGATTGGAATGAATTGGCACTTGTGACAAGTTCGTCGATCACACACCTAGATAAGGGATGTAAATCCTCTCATGAATCCCTGCGTTGTACCGACACAAGAGCGCACCGGTTGACGTGCCGATTCGACGAGGGCATAACTCGTTATTTTAGTTCGAAAGCTGTCCCCGCCACATTGACGTCTCAAACGCATGTAACTGCCGCACCGACCCTCCACTGTTAAGCCATATAATTTTTGTAGTGAGTACATTATTTGCCTTTGTAATTGGAGTGCTTTTAATCTTCCCTGCATTTTATTTATTTCGAGATAAATAAGGGCAATCAAGTTCTTTTAGAATTTATGTAACGTGAATAAGCTTTGAATACGAAACATATCAGTGATTTCTTGATGGTTCGCGAGCTCACAAAGAAATAAAAAATTGTATAAAGCACCGTGTCAGTCAAACAGCCTTCGTAATTTTGTAATTTGTTTGTTCGTCTTATTGCTAAAACTTGTTGTTGTTGGAATATCCAATGAAAGCTTCGAAGCATACCTAGTACTGTTAAACTATATATCGATACAACAAAAAAAAAAAATTATATTGTTTATTTTTTCAAACAATAACCGACGTCATTATTATCAGAACTAAGTTATCATTAACTACACGAGGCGTTTCTCGAAAACATAATAGTTGTTTTACAGCTGGGCACGGAAATGTTTCTAGGCATCAATGACCACGACCGCTATAAAGTATACGATCCGTCAGAAACAAAGTGAAAATAATAAACGTGACATTAAACAACAACGCAATTGGTTTTTAATAATGGTAATTAGAGTTAGCGACAAATGTAGAGTTCACACATAAAAAAAAAATTAGGTACATTGAAAAAACATCCAATTAGAAGTAGGTATGTACAGGAGCATATTAGCAAACTTAGATATCAACAAAAGTTTTTCTTCTCATCTTGACTAGAGAAAGAAGAGAAGAATGTAATTTATTAAAATAATCTAAATCTTGATGTTTGAAAATAAGGTCGAATTTCGATCACTGAGCCAAGACTAGCTGTCACTACGGACTTTAAAAGTAAATTTATGAACAAAAAGGTCCATGTTAATACCAAATCTTTTATTATCAAGTTTAATAAATTTTAATATGTCTTGAAAAACACCCAATTATTTGGTGTGTTGTCTTTTAAGAAATTGTTCTTGTAGGGTTTGTGATCAAGTAGCGACATCTCTCGGTAGTCAATGGAAATGACAAATAGTACTATGCACATTTTCTAGTTTTCGTAAAGCCGTTATCAAAACATGCTAGATGCAACTTGCGTCACGTGAGGGCCACAAACCTGCCGCGCGAACTAATATTAATAGTGGTACATTTCGTGCAGCTCAAAGAAGCTAAAGTAAATAGTTTTTATCCCATCAGCAATCTCACAACCACTTTCTCAGTTTTCAGGAGCGGCCTCAATATACCTCTGTATTTATTATTATGTATGTAGGTACAAAAATTATTTATTATACATAGATAAATATTATCAATAAATGCAGCCTTTTATGAGTGTTTTTTTGGATTTTGGAGTTTCACTTTAAAACTTTCGTCGTACATACATGTACATCAACAGTTACAACTTTAAATAGAAAATTTACCTTTGGATATTTATTACCCATCGCGAATGTCGAGATTAAGATATTTCATTTAAATTTCATGTGGATACCAGAAGTTACAGTTGCTGACAAATCGTTGTCGATAACTTCGTTACGATATTTTTGTGCCGCGTCGGTTAGTAAACAGACGGTATTTCTGAAGTCTTTTCAAATATTTCGGTGCTCGTTATAATACGACAAATATCGTTTGTGCCGACGTCAAAGGAGAAACGCTATTATACACCTACGTATTGACATGCCACGTGACAGTCATTAGCATTAATATTGCTAAGCGACGCAAAAATACGTAGGTATGCATTATAAAATGAAGCCGCATTTTTTTAAGCCGAACTTAATGCATACCCAGCAAGATACGTAAATTAATCTAGGCCACGAATGCATTGTTAGAACTTCTGTAATCAATAACCGATTATTGACCCGAGAAATGACAGAATTGTCGATTTTTGTAAAATTTAATTCAGCTTTGGAAGTTTTTATTCTTTATTGTACACAGAGAGAATATAAAAGTCTTTCAAAACATAAATCATCATTTCCTTGTAAAATTCAGATTCAAAAGAAGACTCTTCAAGTGCACACGTTCGAAGAATCTCCAACTATTCTAGAGGTCGAGGTGCAGTTACGAACGCACAAATCAGCTCTTGAACTCTGCATTCAATTCGAAGCAATTCGAACGATATTAAACAAGAATGTTTTATATGAAATGTTGGATCATGATCACACTTTAATCATTGCAAACCGTAACTGTGTATATCATATAACTGTGTATGTTATATAAAAATTAATATTCTTTTAAATACTTGAATACATTTTTCAGAACAATTAATTCACTTCAGCTCTATTGTAACAACTTTTATTGTATTAGATTTGTCGATGAGCTCAAGAACCATTGGATCTCAATAATGTTAATTTTTCATTTTTTCCCTAACTATTTGCCGGTAGCCTAAGATGCTATTCCAGCTACGCCCTGACGTACTCTGACGGTGAACTCACGCGCTCAACCTGAGACAATTTGCTATCCCTAGCGTGAACAGTGCTTCGCAGAATCTACCACCGGATCTGAATCGCGACCCACTGAGAAGATCCGGCGAGAAACTCAGTAGGCTGTGTCTATGAGCTAGTTCGCTCCTCGACGAGGACGGTGATCGGTGCTTGAGAGGTCTAAAAGCACAAAGTCAATCCAGGGGATCCGGCAAGACATGTTTCGGATGACGGCGGCTTTGCGTTAACCCATCGAGGTCGGATAAATAACCAGCGGCGATGATTTTCGTGTCGCGCCGCTTTGTTGAAGTAGCGTTCTCACGCTTACTTACATATCGGTTCTGAATTTAGATCGTCGTGAAGTTCAGCATTCCTCACGTAACAGTGCTTCGACGGTTATCCTGCAGAGACGGGATTGAATGACCTGGAGAGAGTTTATGTACATGCGGGCCGCGTGAACGCACTTGCATATGTCATGACGGAACGCATGCAAGATTTGTTGTTTCACCTTGTTACGAAGGGACGATTTACTTCTCTTGCAGATCATGGGATAGAAGTGACCAAGTAGGGACGCGGCCTGGTCCACGTACTGACTTAATGAGGGGTACGACATCATCCCTCTGTCGAGGGTGACGCCTCGGTACTTAGTCTTCGAAGCACACGGCATGGGCTAGCCAAAGATTTTAATAGATGGAGTAACCGCGCCTGACTCGTGACGAGATACTAGCAGTAGTGTCAGGAGAGTGACCCCTTTTGAAGTGCACAACTGTGCTTTTCGTGGGGTTGATGTCGATAACTACTTCCTGAACCACTGTCCTAAATTGGTGGCCGCGACCTGGAGATTATAATGCACGAACGACATCTTCCTACACGAATCGTAAATGGCTGTATTATCCGCGAAAAGGGCTAACTTTGTCGCCAGCGACCGCGGTATAGCGTTCATAAATAGGCTAAAAAGTAGCGGGGAGTGAGCGGAGCCTTGTGGAACTCTGGCTGATACCCCTTTTTACGAAAATTGCGCGGACGAAAGAGTATGAAATTTTCAACACTTAGAGATTATAGAGAAGCAGTGCACAATGCTAATATTTTTTTAAAATAATGCGTAAAAGATACATTATATCAATAAAGAAAACGTTACACACACTACCATGTATTTGACATTTGACACACACATGCATACTATTTATTTCTTTTCAAACTTTTGTTCTTGACGTCTGTGGTCAAATTGAGAATAGATTAAATATTGTTTGTCTTTATTAATATTTTTCCATAGTGCAGTCTTGGCGAAATTTGTGATTATAGGAGTATAATAGTCTTTGAAATTAGAATCATAATAGTGTACAAACTTACAATTTAAATTAATTATAGTCGAATTTCGACTACTGCGGGACCACTAGTTAAAAATTAATCTATTATAATTAAAAAAAAACTAAACTATATAATGTAGCATTTTTATATCTCCGCGAAACAAATACTAATTTGTATACATGAAATGTAACATTTTTTATTCACAGCAAATCCAACACTCAAGTTACGTTTTAATAAGGCTGTAAAGCTTCTAGTTTTTTTCTTTTAATAGGATAGCCTGATGAGGTATTAAGCTGTGCAAAAACAATCCTGATATATTGTAAGTACATACAAATACAAGATAAAGTTTCCCAGGGCCTAATATTTCTAAGTTAGCTAGTCATTTAATAGATCACATGTTTGAATTCACAAAAATATCAAGTTTTTTCGCAGTACCAGTGCAAAATAACGTTACAAAAATACGTTAGCTTCGTTCAAACTTCAAACCCCTTTGGTTTAACGTGTGGTGTCACGGTTGGATGACCTACACAGCCCGCATGCATAATTTCATCTCAGCCTATTAAACAGGAACCATAACTTTGGATAAGTATTTATAGAACAGGAACAATGGGGTATTAGGCCTTCGACTCAACGCTAAGGTTTCTGTCTTTGATCAAAATCGTATGACTTACATATTTTTCGGCTAAAAGGATCGGTATCCTCGAAACGCTTTAGATTTCGTAATGCCATAACATAAGATTTAAACATTATATTTAATTATATCGACCACTCACAAATAAACTGCTTAGTTGAGTATTCATAGAAAAACTGCGTATGGCTGCAGAAAGTTCCTTTTGTCAATTCTTCAATTGAAATAAAGTGTGGATTTCATTATTTGACAACGATTGCCAAATGAGTAGAAAGTAGTTGATGATGAGATAGAAAAATGGATTAAAATTTAAAAATGTACATACCTTCGTCCAATACTTGTGTGGCTATGGCAATTTCCATCGACGTACTTCGTTCAGGAGCTAACAACGTGACACAATAAACACATATTACACAACCAAGTTCAGGTCACTTACCTCCATCCTCCTGATGGCGAGCCGTTGCTGCCTTCGTTGAGCTGGGCGGCACTCGATCTCTCAAGGTTGGGTACATTAACCCTAAAAACAATAAGCCATGTTTCATGCAAAGCAACCAGATCAATACTGTCTTGACCAAATTATTTCGCAAATTATACTATTATTTTCGATAATACATCGTTCGAAAATTGAAGACTCTTCGAAGTGAAATAAATGTTTTGCTACCAACGATATATTAAGAGGGTGTTAAACCGATTTTCACAGAAGAATTATATTTTCTATGGAGTTTTTTTTGTCCATTTAATATTAAAAATATGTCTTCTGTCAAGTTTAACTTCAACATATTTGATTTAATCAATTTGTGAGTTATGCTATTGTTTCATACGACAATGCACCGTTAAATCCAATATCCGGTAAACACAAGTCCCGTTAGAAGAGCAGCAATTACTTGTGACGCCTGCTTACATTACACCATTTAACAACGTCCATCGACTGAATATGTATGAATGCTGGCGCCCAGCTTACACACGGTTCTTAGTAATAGGTACTTACATTTTCTTGTTTGCTACTGAAGGTTCAACGATCAATGGGAGCCCGCAAAATGAGTACCCTGCAACATTAATGGATTACTGTAAACATCTTTTGTTTTGTGCAAAATGTAAACGCTAGTTGAATGAGAAATTCTTAGCGCCATGTCTCTCTAATTTGTAAATATTTTAGGTACATATCACAGAAAACATTTTCATGTCCTTAGGGTGGGACGTTTAACCACTATCCCAATTTCAGCGTTATTCCAATTATTTTTCGATTGAATTGAAAAACCGGCGATGCTAATTATGAACAGTATACTCAGAGGAAAAGCGGACATTAAATTGAAAAACTTATAATAGAATACATTAATGTTAAGCAATTATCTATACTAATATATAAATCTACAGTGGTTTTTACGGATGTTCCGTTATAACTACTGAAATATGCATCCGATTTATTTGATACTTGGTGTTGGACTCCCTATACCAGTTGCGGGGGCGTTAATGATGAGAATCTTTGTGGGGGTGAGAAATAATAATTTAAACTTAAATGCCCAGCGAAGCGGTCGGGTACACCTAGTTTTTATATATAATCGAAACGAAGATTCTCGTAGATTATTAATTATGCCCGAACATACATTCATTTACACATTGATGAACTTTAAATAGTTATGTCACCATGATTTGAGAATAACAAACTAGTGGAAGTAGTTACCGTGTAGTTTATCGATGGCTCGATCGGCTGCAGATTGGTCAGGGAAATCCACGAATGCGTAGCCACCTCGTTTCACCGAAATTTCAGCAACAGTCAAATTTTGTTCAGCAAACAATTGTCGTACAGCTGCCTCGTCAACTTCATACGGCAAATTACCGATGTATAATTTGTTCATCGCTGAAACAGTTTTCAGTGGCTCACTCATTTTCAAAAGTAGTTTTCCCTGGAGATTGTAATTCAGATGAGATACGACGAAACCCTTTGTCTAGGGTCGAAAGTTCTTTTGTCTTAAATGTCACTCAATTTGCAAATTTAGAATTTCATTATCGTTTTTAAATTGTAAATTATGCCTTTGTGACAGTTCAAAAAAAGTATGAATTAGGACTTGATAATGAAAGTAGCGACATCAAATGTGTGAAAATGTGTTTTCGTTTCTAATTGAACAACATGAATTGTTCGCAAATAGGATGTGTATGTTATCAGAAGTAATTAAAAAAATCCATTTAGTAATATAATTAATTACCTGTATCTTATTTCTTTCGTAGCAGGTGGAACTAAGAAAATTTTAGGTGTCAAGTTTTACAAGGCTCGCACAGTAAAATCTTGTTAAGCCAAGATACTTACGAAATTTATGATCACTTACATCACATAAGACCAACATTTTACAAATTGCGGGTATTCTTTAATATTCGTTACATGTGTTTGTATAATTGTATTAGTTATGCAAGTCACCGGCGAATGCATAATCTTAAAGCCAAACGGCGTAACTGTAGGACGAAATTACGAGTACTTCATCACACACATTTAAAATATCTAAGTATTCAGATACTAATATTTTTTTTTTGCTTTTTAGATATGTTTCTCTCTTTCTGACGTGCGTCTAATATTATTCATGCGCCTTTTAGATTGACGGACGAGCACACTGCCCACCAGGCGTGAAGTGGTTCTGTAGACATCACAGTTTGAATGTAGCACTGTAGCTAAGATATGAGATCAAAATCTCAATAATACTTGAAGAACGATTTTTTTTTCACTTGCATACGGACTATGTTGCACTTCGTATTATGTTACGGTTACAGTAGCCCGTAAACATCCCAGTGTAAATGGAGTTGTCGATCCCGTCTTGTAGCATGGGAATGGATTTGGAATTATATTGGATGGCCGCTATTCTACCTGATCCTTTAATGAATAGACCATACCGAGCCTACTAGTATCAGTCCAATGAAAGATCAATACTATGGAAGTAATACGATCGGCTTGAAGAATCATTCATCATTCAGGAATGATTGATACTTTGATCTTGCATTAACTTTGAGCTAAATCAAACAACATATTTTGTGACACACTTATTTAGTGTCGTAACTATTATTGGAAGAACGTTAAACGTCTGCCAAGAATGAGGTTGGATAAATATTTATTGGCATGCAAATTTCATTCTGTAATATTTCGAAACTATTACTTGCTTGTAAAGCACCCAGTGATTTATCGTTTGAATGTTATTATGTTCCCTTGCCACCACCGGATCCGCATTGATTGCTCTCCCTTGTGAATTTTCGGACTTATTTGCATGAAAATATTTGTGAATTAGAAACGCATTGTTGCTATTTGAGGGGTCCGTCAGCACTTGGCTGCTCATTCGCTCTTTCAAATTATGCACACGAGATCGACTGTAGGTACGTAGGTAGCTACAGTCGGCTCATTATTGGGGGATTATTCAGCCAAGCCTACCGAGCGATAAGTACCTAAGTAAACCGTGAATCAAAAGAAGCATCACTTATAAAAGTATCAAACAGCTGTTGGTTTACTCGCAATATGACAATTATTAAAACTTCGAGTCAACTGTATAAATGTAAAATTTATTCAATTTTTATAGCCTACGGAGGCACCCCGGTAGGTAGTCTGGGAATTGGTAGCTAGGTACTCCTACCAACAGCCTTGTCAATCCTAGGTACCTATGTTTCAACAAATACATGGTAATTGAGTTGTTGACGTTCTAGCTCAATAAAATCTCTTGTTATTGGACAATAATGAGAGAAGTGAACATTACAGCTTACCTGATGGTAAGTCGTTACCGTTGCCTATGAAAGACCGCGATGTCAGTCGCAGAGACGAGCAGTTCTTCAAATCACTGAGGTCGTTATTAAGGACAACGCGGAACTTAATGGTACGAGATGAAATGGTTCTCTGGAAAGGTAACGTGGGCGAGAGGAATTGATTCAGGTCATTAAATGGATGAAATCTAGTACTATAGTGACGATACAAAACTAGTGGGACCTATGTCGCATGAGAATTGTGGAAACACTCAGAACGAGCTTTTTCGATTCCCATTTGCAAAAACGTTATTCCGAACGGTTCGTACTTAGGAGCTCCGGCTTGGAGATGTGAGCCTTATCTCAGATCGTGGACGAAACATATAAAGTGTAGATATTAATTGACGGCGAAACTGTAACTCCATCTACTGGATCGAATCCAATATGGTTTGTAATTAAAAACAAGTTTGATACAAATATAGTGCTTTGAAAGGTTTATTAAATGAGTTTAATAAAAAAAAGTAGACCTATTCTTATAATTTTCATTGACATTTGTTAAATTAAGAATTTCGTTGAGAAAATTAATTAAATCAAGCTCCATCTATCGAGGGTCGCTACTTGAAGGTGATTTCTCGGGAGGGTTGCCAGGATCAGTATTCTGAAATCCGGTTGAGCAAGTTTTAAATTACAAATTTCGTTTTCTGAATATGTTCTTTACTGTATTGAAGACGTAACAGGGATTTTCATAGTTGTCTAGATATGCGATATAATTTTAGAATCGCACTGAATTCTATCTAGTAAATTTTTTTTATAAAAATTTTAAGCCATATAAACTGCTGAGCTTACTCACAATCACAACGATCACATGATATTAACTAGTTACCAAACTTTGTGGACGCCACGCGAATGTTACTACCCACCTCGAGCTGTTATAGTCGCTATTCAAGTAGAATAACGGCTATCCTATTCTTTAGGCCGGAACGCATTATTCCTTCACAGCAGAAACAGACGGGGCGGTGACACCGAACACGCGCGAGCTAACAGGAAGTTCTAATGCCTACCAAAAATAACCATTTTCTGAAATAGCTAAGGAAAGTTTCACGTACGTGCCGACGACTGAACAGAGTTAACAACTCAAGATATTAAATCTTTGAATAAAGCTTTGGTCTGGATAAATTTATAAAAAACAATCGACAGCAGGAAAACAAACAGAGTATATAACTCAAGGTAATTAGAGTATTCTATGATGCCGCCCACTATCTGTAGCTTAGCGGCTGATATCGAGATAACAAATCAGATTGGCTAGGGTATCTTCATAATCTGTTGTAGAAAAGCCAAGACATTGATATCCTAGTCGAGATAAAACATAATTTCTTATGAACCGCTACAAACCTGGCAACTCTATCTCGGATATTAGAAAATAATAAGATTACTTTTGTGTTCTTTGTGATTGAAGTGGTTTGATAATCAAGTTTTATTTAATACAAGCGGCATACTCCGGCTCCGCTCGGGTTTTTAACAAAAATTTCAACGATATGTATTTGACGTTGTTTTATTTTTTTAAATAAAAGAACGCTTAAAGCGGCTTAACTATAATAGTTAGACATATGCTGTCGGGACACTTTTTGTAAATAATAATGTGTTCTACAAAGTCGTAGTACATTATTTTATACTATCATCAATCGTTTTCGCAGGGCACGCGATGTAAAGAATATTTGAAGTAATTTTTTACACCTTGGGTTACTTTATTGGAGTTTTAGTGAAAGATAAAGCCTATGTCACTCGGGAATAGAGTAGCTTCCAAACAGTGAATGAATTTTTCAAATCGGTTCAGTAGTTTTGGAGCCTATTCAATACAAGTAAACAAACAAATCTTTCCTCTTTATAATATTAGTAGAGATATAGATTCAAGACAGGGTCCGTAGTTTATTCGATGTAGGAGTAATGAAGAAACAATTAGGATATTTTATTAGGATATTTTCAATCGCTATAACTAATTATTAACACAGAAAATATTAAATATGGTTTATTTAGAAAATCGTTACGAGTTATGATTCATATTGATTGTTTAAAAACCGAAGGATAATTTTCATAAATAAAATACCACTTTACACTTGCTTACATTTATTTCATTCATAATCATAACGGTCAAATAATACAAATTTTATTATGATACATGATAGTAAAAAGCACATTCTTAAAATAAATATATATTTATATATATTCTTAGAATAATAGTAGTAACAACACCTGTGTATAATGTGTAATTTAGTTTAAGAATATTTCAAGAAAACGTTTCTAGATATGGTCCAATGTTTTATACGTAAAAATGTATTATATAACAGGTATAAGTTGTTCAGAACACGCAAGGCACGAGGTTTCGAAGGAAGTGATATTACGTTAATAGTGTAAATTTAATATTATAATATACATCCATAAATTTCAAAAAATATGTGTACTTATAAGTAGGTACGTTATAAAGATATTATGGTTTGCTATTATAAATATTTCGTTGAATTAGTTAATATCAGCGTTACGACTGAGAGCTATTAAATAGGCACGTGTTGACATGATCTTTCGACTCTGATAAAAACAAAGAAATTGAAAATTCTTAAACTAAAAATTTCCATCAGTCTTACTAGGTAATATTAATTTCGATGCCTCCAATGAACACTACGCTAACTCCAAATTTGTAGATTTACAGGAGGAGCGTTTAAACGAAAAAAAGTTAATAAAATCTTTATTATTGCAGATATATTTATGGTTTTTTTTGTGTAACTAGCTGATTTACTCTTGCTTCGAACCCCATCAATAATGATTAATTGTAATACTTTTAAAATAGTTAAGCGATTTGCGTGAAAAACGAAAATTACAAAATTTTGAGTTAGAGTAGTGTTCATTGGAGCCATCGATTTGATACGGATAAACTATGAAAATTAATGTAATAGGATTTCTCTGGAATGCCATCCAATAAGTTTATAGTGTTTTTTTTAAGCTCACTAATAGAAGCGCCTTTTGACTTTACTGCCTTAATTTGAATACGAGTATGACACTAATAATAATACGATAGTTTTGTCAGCACAAGTCAATACTATTTTCTTTACTTTCTTGAACGGCGTATCATAAGTAAGCGTGGATCAAATGA